AACGCGACAGTAAAAAAAAGAAAGCCAAACAAGGAGATGTGCCGAAAAGCACAGCTTGGAGTTGAGGTCTGCGAGCAGGAGAAGAGGTGGTGGGCAGTGGAGGCAGACGCGCCCCCTTTTTGGTGCTGTCAAGTAAGTTGCTGTCAGGCTGTTTAGCGCGCGGCCGGCCTGGCGCGGGCTGCGGAGCCGCCTCTCTGGGGCGGTAATTAACCAGAGCCTGGGCGCACCGAGCCAGTCCGACAGCTCCAGCCGCCGGCAGAGCCATGGCCTCAAGGGCTGCATGGGTCTGGACGCACATCTTCTGGAACGCAGGTCTCTCGCGACTGAGATCCCGAGCCTGGAAGAATGGGCTCCCGGTACAGACCTCTTAAACCGGAGTCGGTACAGATCTGACCAGCTAAAGGGTGATGGTGGAAAGTTGGCCAAAGAAAACTCGAGGGGGTGGCGGGGGAGGGAAGACCCCCCCACCATCCCCACCATAGCAATGACAAAAGTGGCGCTGCTTCCGAGTAGCCTAGATGCAAATTCGGGGAGACTCGCAGGCAAATGGTGTGTCAACCCTGGGCGCTCAGATTAACACGGGGCATGGAACAAGCAAGACTCTCTACCCACAAACCGCATACTCTTTACACTCACTGTCGCTTTGGGCTCAGATCCTAAGATTTCGGGAGCCAGTTTCCTATGGTGGGGGAGTGGTCGGAGAGAGGAATCCAGCGAGGGCTGGAACTTTGGGGTTCTGGCCAAGGGAAGAGGGAAGGGGGCGCGCTGGGCGCTGTCCATGGTGCTGGGGAGAGCGCGGCTTCATTTCGCTTCTCCTCGCTGTCCCCAAACCGAGTTCAAGTATAAAAAGGGGAAAGGGACATCAACAACTCGTGCTGCTGGGATTGGTTTTTTCTCCCCGCGAATGTGGAAAATGCGAATGTGGCTGTATAATTTAAATAGTACTCAAGGAGGGTTCTTCTCTTTATTTCTCAGTCATTATTGCTTAGACAGCAGGTTAACTGGTAGTTTCCTCCTCAAAGTGTTTCATATTTTGAAGTAGTGTACATCAGCAATTCCTGACGTACAAAGTAAAGAGTAAGGAGGAAAGAAAAGGATGACTTGAGACTTTAAACATATCCAAGCAATTAACTATTTCCAGATTTGATAAGAAATAAAAGCACAGCATAACGTAACCTGCTAGAAACATGTTCATTGAGAAAGTATTAAATATATATAGATTCAATTTCACTTAAATAATTCTCTAAACTACACACCTGCTAGATTCTATAGTTATATTATGTCAGCAACAATAAAAGGAGCGATTTACCTATTGTAGTGTGTGTGTGTAAATTAGAAATGGTTAAAATTTCATTCTAAGTTCTAAAATGGTACTCTAATAGCTGCATTTTTTTAAAAAAACAAATTTGATTTTTTAAAGTAAAGGTGATCAGAAAGAAAGCAGGATACAGACAGAAATTATTTCAAAATTAGGGAAAAGATCTAAATAGAAACATAACCCATCTAGTAAGTGAATCATACTTTTGTAAAACACACACACACACACAATCATGTGACACAATTTCAGGTAGACTTTTAACTATGATTGGTCCAATCAGAAATGTGAAAATCAGGAAAATAATTGATCTTAATTGTTTTAATCATGAAAATCTTATACTCTGCAACTTGAATTCATGTGACAATGAAGAAGGAAAAGGACATGAAAACAAACAGCTGACACAATGATCAGCAGCAACTGACAGCATCTCATTTGATATTTGATATCAAGCACTAGATCAATATTTGTGAGATCAATGCAATTTTAATGGTTTTCTTTCAAAACTGTATGAAAGCCAAATTGTGATACTCTGTGCTAGGGTTATTTTTAGAGGTGGTTATTCCAGGGGATGATATTAAGTAATTTACTGAAGCAAAGCTAAAGCAAAAGCAAAAAAAAAAAAAAAAAAAAAAAAGAACTCCAGAAACCCACCACAACAAAGTATCAATATTTCTTCAGTTGATAAATCCTGATTATCCAAGTACCCAGAGAAGGTGTGAACATTTATTGGAAAAAAGCCATTTATTTAGTTATGATTAAAAAAAAAAAGAAAATAAGCCTTTGAAAAATTATTTGGAGGTACATGTAGATGAACTGGATCAGAGATACCTTCTTCAGACACAATGGGATTAGGTGGTTGGTACTTGGGCAAGAAGAAATAAAAATGATAAAAAGACAAAACTTAGGCCTTTTAGCTATTAGGTCAATACCCTCATGTGTGGAATTCAATAGGAAATAAATTTTTCTGCATGTCTGGCAGAGTAGAAAACTGAGTCCTATCTGATACTCTTAAGCAATGTTCCCAAGTTCAAATGGGGGGAGGAGGAAGTAAATAAGTATAAATATTGTCTATGACTTTCCTTAGAAGAGTTTATACCTTTAAAAAATGCAATTAATCCAACCCAGAGGCACATAGTTCCTAAATCTTTAGTTATATTTTGACTCATTTTCTTACCAACTCCTTTTGTTTGATAAAAATGCTAAACTTGGATTTATTTATTTATTTTTACAGATTCAATTTTGAGGAATTTTCACCTAGAGGAATCCAAGACCTTCGGTCCAACAGCAATTTTGGTTGGGAGGTAGATGATGGGGGGAGAAGTGGCAGAAGGGGTGTAACTAGGTGAAACATTTCTGTAAGAACAGTAATAAAAGTGAGATGAAGTGATCATGGGGAGTGTTTGTGACAAGCAGAGGTTTAAACTTTTAGGTACAAGAGCAAGAAAATAACTTCCATTTGTAACTCAACCTTAGTCAAAAACTTGAGAAGAATTGGTTTTTCACTTGAAAGAGTAGGAATATTTTGGGGAATTTCTGATGCCTGACCTAAGACCTGTCATCCTTTTTCAGACAGAGAATAAAATACTTCAAAACTATGCAACTCTTGAAATTTTTGTCCTCAAATGTCTCTTTTTTCCTGATATTTTTTCTTGATGACAGTAAATTGCCTGATGAAGAAACTGACAGGTCATTTCAAATAAAAGGCATTGTATATGTTCTTAAATGAAATTAATATCTAATTCCTTTTGCAGAATTAAATCATGTACCTTAGTATATTCCCTAAGAATCCAGGTAATGGCATATTTCCCAGGATTTTGATAACTCCATAAAAAGTCACTCTCTGCATGTGACTTTTTATGGAGTTTTATTGTATTTTAATATGCTTTATTATATTTCAAATTTGGCAGATTTTTTATGAACTAAAGACACCAACAGTTTAAATCAATTTTACTTTAATGAAATAAAGCCAAACATACACACAAATGCACCTTACATAGAATTTACAAATGCAAGTGAACTTAGCAATATTTATTACAAGGCATTTAACAATCTTTATTACAATGCCTTGTAGAATTTGAACATGAAAATTTTATTTAACATAAAATAAGTTTACAAACATTTATGGTGACCAACATATATGGAGCACCTGCTAGAGGCATCAAAAAGACATACATATACTGTATATGTTGTCAGTATATTTCAGGTAGGATGGACAGGAATGGGCATATGTACCCCATGTATGTATGCATGAGACATATACATATAAGTTCATATACATATATTTTTTCTATTAGGTAGGTCTTTAAAAAAAACCCTGAGTTATCTCAAAGAAGGAAATGAACTTTATACTCAGTTATAGTTAATTTGTACCTCAGTTTGGCTAATCATAATTTGACCAATAATTTTTCCTCATAGCATGAAGGACAGTACTTACAATTTAAAAGTTTAGTGCACCAAAAATGCTGCTCTTCTTAAGCCACTTTGAAGTAATGCTAGTGAGTCTACGATCCAGATCTACATGTTAATCTCTAGTTTTGCCTTCAAACAGAATTCAGTTACAAAGAACTTGGAAAGATTTTGAATCTATTCAGGAGAGGAAAACTCTTTAATTTTCTGAGGAGTAAAAACTCCCCAAGAAACTTCATATAGCTTCTTAGATTTTGCTTAGCATACGTGATAAAACATTGATTGTTGCAGTTTGGTGACCCATGAAATTTGGGGGTTAGTTTTCTCTTCAGACCAGAGCATATAATTATGCAAATAAAGAGCTGTCACTGATCTAGTGAAATACGCACAAACACATGCACTCTGAAATTGGACAGAAAAGTGAAAATGGTTGGTGATGTGATGGTGCCATGGTTTGTTTTCCTGCCAAGTTTCTATCCAAATTCATTATTCAAATTGTAAACTTTAAAAAGAGACATATCATTCTTGGGGGTGTTGGTTGTCTTTTCATTTCAGATTCTTTGTATTGGTACTGCAGGCTGGCCACAAAGTACAGTTCAACATTATTTTACCTATGACAGTTCTCCATATTACCCGATGAAATAGCCAAGGAAAAGAAAGATGCAGAACCTCTCCAGATTTCTTTCTAGAAACATGTCTTGTGTCTGTTTCAACAGAACTCAACTCCAACAATACAAAGAATATAGTCAAAGGTTTTTCACAAATCTCAAGGCAAAGGACTGGGAAAGTTGCTTGGAAGGCCTCATGGATTAAGTCAGATTTCCATTTTCAAGCTTTTTGCATTCTAGGGGAAAATACTGGTCACTGTGTGATGTCCACTTAATGGTCAAAGTTTCAGGATGACTTTCTCCCACCTAGCAATTAAAGCCAACTCTATAATATTTGGTGACTTCAACCTCTGTGGCTCATTTACAGTTAATACTCCTCTAAAACCTTTGTGCTAAGAATTAAGAGTTCTTCAGTTTAATCATGCTCTTTGGCATTGAGGTCTCCCAGTTCTCAAGTTACCATTGCACAGGGTTATTGCATAATTTTAGATGTCATGGAGATTCAGCACTGATGAAATCTGAGAAGGCTCATGTCAGACCACTGACTGCTAAAGACATCACTACATGAAAGATCAGTGGTGTGAAACTTTAAAAACATCGATCCAAATGAATCAATTAAATCAACATTCATCCCTCCTAAGTGTGTGGCTTAAAACTATCATTGTTGCTTTTTTTTTTTAACCTTACATAGATTTCGAGGTAAACGCTGGAATGCTTTGATGGCTACTTCTATTCTCGAACCTCCGTTAATCGACTTTGTGCTAGTTCCCTCTTTTCAACATCTTCCACTTGGTATACATTCTTTACTTTTAGTACAGTGCATGACAGTTGCAATGCTTTAAATCTAAAACCTCCTAACAAAGCTGACGCTTTAGGTAGGGTAGCTTTAAGCTCTGTGAAGTGTTGATTAAAAACCCTTTCCCAGACTCAAACTGATCTTTTTAGAGATTAATAGAATATTAGATAAAAGGAAGATGAACAATTCAAGAGACTCCCACTCAGTCATTCTATACAAGGAAGGAAGGAAGGAAAGTATTCAATTTTTGAAAGGGAGTACCTCCTGGTGTCTTTTATTTTATATTATTACAGCCACTAATAAGTAATCATAAAATAACCACCACCATTATCCCCCTTTTTGCCACCCATATTTCAAAGATGAGAATGTCTCACATTCATTTAAATACATTTTTCTCCACAGAGGCAATGGGAAAGTTTTTGAGAAATTTTTATACTTTTTGTAATAGTAGTCTTTCTTAAATAAATTAGGATTACAGACACCAACAGGAACTTGCCAGTTTACAGTAAAAACTATGATTATAACAAGAGACACATGTGTTTGAATCGGAACTACAGATAATCCATAGGAACTTGAAAAAGAAACTAACTTATTAGCACTGAGAATAGTTAACATATCTCTCAAAGGAGTTATAGGTTATTTCCTTAAGAAAGGAGTTGCTGAAAATAAATGTAAAAAAAGTTATTTCAGATTGAACATAGCACATAAAGGACCTATATACAGGAATTTGGGAGCAATTGAATCCCACCAGACTCCTTTTGGAAAACACATTTATTTATGGTATATTAAAGTTTATTTTATAAAGCTATAGTTTTATGATGGGTTGTTCAAATTTCCTTGCTAGGGAGATATTTTAGATATTAAAAACAAATGTCTTAACAAATGTTAGCTTTGTGTGCAAGCCAAAAGGTGACTCTACTGAAGTTAGGATATTGCCCTACAGCAATAATAGTAATAATAAGTAGCCATAAGGTTTAAAATATTGATGAATGCTGTCCCATCATTCTAATACATTTATACTTTTAAACACTATAGAGTTGGTGAATAAAGGAACTTCTGGGCAAGAATAATATGACACTGCTTGTTGGGAATATTATTTTTATTTTAAAATGTAAACAGAAATATATATGGGAAATGCATGTGCTTTTTTTTATATATAAACAATAATGCAATCCAGGTTGAAGCACAAGCCTGAAACTTGAAAAAAGAACAATTATTACAAGTAGATGGTCTTCTTTTCAAATATCCATGAAAATTTTTAACGACTGCATGGTTAGGCACCTGTAGAAAGCTCCAAAGCAATAATCTGGCTTTTAAGTTTTGACAGGAGTATTTTGAATATTAAATTTATCAACAACTCCTTTCCCATTCCCATTGCTCTAGGAAGTATATAATTAAAATAAAAATGCCTGCATCCTAACTTTAAAACTCTACTCTCCTAAAAAACCTAAGAAAACCAAAATGAGAAAGGAGATCAGGGCAAAAATATTGTTAACACTGGCAGCCTCCAAGTAGGCGGGCTACTGCCAACTGCTTGTTGTTACTCCAAGAAAATTGAGGTGAACAATATTATTACACTTATACCAATAGACCCGTAATCAACAGGTTAAAAAATTCTACATTAACAAAGAATCTGATCAGTAATCAGTCGGTGGTCTGGAATGGTTTGCCTAGCTCTCTCTGGGTTGCCACAGCTCAGATTCACAAGCAGAAATTACATTTACACAACTTAAGTTTGCAAATAGCTCTCTACAGATAGTTAAACAAGGCCTAACAATCCAGTAGTTTTAAAGCATTAAAGTATTAAAGGCAATTAAACAGTGATTTACTCTAGTTACAAGTAAAGGTTTTTAAAAAGAGAGGTGAGAAAATTGCAGAAAAGGAATAGGAGTGATTTGGTTTATAAACTGAGCATATTTATTTTACTCTAAATTCAGCTGCAGAAGTTTCAAAAATGTAGCGTTGCACAAGTGTTGGTTTTTTTAAAAAAGCTATAAAATTAGTTTCCTGTGAACATTTTCATATACCGAAAACACCACACAATTTATAACATTTTGAAAAATATATTCAATCCACATCAATTCTCAAATCCCTCACTGGAAGATACCATTATTTTACACAGTTCACCATTACTTCTACAATAGGAAAGTCTGGATAAAAAGGGTCAACATCACAGACCAATGTGCTTGACACTGTTGGGGCTTACACATTTTACACCATCCAGTAGCTGAATAAAATGCCATTTTGATTTTTTATGTTGTTTCTGCTTAAATAACATCACAAGATATGCAGACATGACTCACTGAAAAAAGATCACTTTAGTTTGTCATCATTAAAACTATAGAACTAATGAATGTACTTGTATGCCAAACACAGCAATGAGATATCAGTTTTAAAACTTGCTGAAATCAGTTCGTAATATAAAAACATTTATCCATGAGGTGGTTCATTTTAAGTTCTTTTTCTGAGGCGTTAGACAGTTCTAAGTCATTTTGGGTACATTTTATCATGTCCTCAAATAAGGCAAGCATGTTAATTGTTGCATACACTTTAAAAAAGGATGAAAAATATTAAATTCAGATCTCTTCTATTAGAAATAATCTTCACTAGGTAAATTCTTCAAGTAATTAAAAATTGATAACGCTAATATTTAATATTTTAATTTAAAAGTCAGCAAAACCTTAACTTATCTCTTGTATTTCACAGTGTTGGCCAGATCTTAGCTGGATTAAAATATTTAATTGTTGAAAACATAGGGAAAACCCCTACAGAGGTGGAATACTAAAAATTATACCATTGGATGGAAAGGAGAAAAATCTTTCACATCAAGTCTCTCTCTTCCTATTAGAGCAGAAAACTAAAAGAATCATTTTAGCCCAACTTAGTCTTTCAGAAGAAAAAGGCTCCAGAGTACATAGGTTTATTTTCCTGATGACAATAAAATATTCTAACCCTAAAAGGGCCTAACTCCAGGAAAGCTCAGAATAGCTCTTTCTAGTAAGGATTAACAACAAACTTTCTCCACATTAAGATTTAAACAGCAAAACTTAAGTGTGTTATCTAAATTACAATGACACTCAATACACATCATATGTTTAAAAAGTAAAGTCAATTCTAATGATAAAGTTGGAAATTCCATTGAAAATGGGACCTTTCACACCTACACTTAAAGGATCTGCTCATCATTATGTTTTAAACAGTCTATTCTGACATTAGAGACTCGTGTAAAATCTCACAATCAACTGGAGACGATTTTCAGCAGTAATGCGGATTTGGTACTTTATAGATTTTTTTTTACGCAAAGTTCTTTTGGTCTCGAAATGAAAACGGATCGTTAAGGAGAGAACAATTTACACTCCCCAAACTCTGTAGTACACCGTGGCATTCATGTTCTGAATTTAAATTTGACTTTTCTCTGTGTGTGTGTGTGTATGTGTGTGTGGAATTTCCTTAAAAAAAAAAAGGCATAAGACGACCTCAGGGAAAAACCTAGTTAAAATGGAAGTTGGAAGTCTAGAATAAGTTTGCTCCTGTCCAGAGTGGGGCGGGGTCCGGGCGGGGGTGGGGGTGGGGGAGGATGGACATGATTGAGGAGGGGGAGCAGCAGCGGCTGCGCTGCGGCGGGCGGTAGGACCGCGCAGACACCGCGCACCCCGCCGCGGCGGCGCGGGCTCCGTCAGGGCAATTAGAGCCGCGCCGGCCGCGCCGGGCAGGGCGCTGTCAGCCTTAATCTGCGCGCTGACGGGCAGCGAGAAGCCCGAGCTCAGCCCGCAGGAAGCACGACCAGTGAACCCATATTGCTTTGACAGTTGCACTCATCTAGAAATAATGCAAAACGCTATTTAGATGTATATATCACGACCCTGTGCTCTGGGAAGAAAACAATCTAATGAGGGGCTGGGAGTCTGCTCGCCGACGACAAGCAGTGGGGAGACGTGTGGGTGCGCGCGCGAGCGTGGCTCCCGCGCTTCCCCTCCCCCGTCTCGCTCGCTCTCCTCTTACAGCTCTTCGTGCTTAATGCGGTGGGAGCGTCGCGTCAGAGCCGGCTTGAGGGAGCTGGTCTTGGCCTCAGAGGCTTCGGTAAAGAATTTGAAAATAGACGGGAAGCTCTTCCAGGAAGTTAGCTCGTGACGGTCGGTGCCTGCAAAGAAAAAAAAAAAAAAACCCACAGATTCCGTTACCAGGTGGCCTCGCTCCGGGCCAGACGCAGGTGGGGGCGGCGACGGCCCGGCCGAGCCGAGGCACGGGGACGCCGCTCCGCCCGCCGACCCCCCCGCCCCGCAGGGCCCCCGCCCGCCCTCGCGGGCTCGCGACTCCGGGCTCGCCACGCCGGGGAGGCGAGGCCCGCCAGCGCGCGGCCTCCCCGGGACACGCCTCTCCGCGAGGGTTCACTTGGCCCCCCAAGGCCCAGGGGGGCGCGGACATCCGCCACGTCCCCGAGGCGGCGGCCCTTCGGCCTGAGTCCCCGTCACGCGCCCGGCGCGGAGACGCGGCCCCGACGAGTCGCGCGGGTCGCCCGAGGCGCGGCCGGGCGCCCGGGGCCTCAGCCCCTGTGGGCCAATGGAGGCGCGCGGCGGCCGGGCCACTCCCTCTCCCGCCGGGAAACCTCCTCCTCCCCGGCCCCGGCGCGCGCGGGGATTGGTTTCCCTGCGCGCGGGATCCCGCTTCTGCTCCCACCCCGCAGCACCCAAGTTTCCTTGCTTCCCAAGGGGAAAAAAATGGATTTTTCTTGTCTCTCCCGGAAGCCGTGCTGTTAGACATGATTACCTCAGCGAGGTCACTGGGACCAAATCACATGGGACGCTTAACGAAGGACCAGATTCAAAACAGATTATGCCTCGAAGTATCCTAGGGCATTTTCACAGGTTTTAAGGAGAATTTAGAAAAGCTAAAGAAATGTTTCAAAGCAGTGACGACTAAAAGAGCATCGAGGCCTCTCATTTTGTCAGGAGGAATTCAACGTAGAAGGTACAAGTTAGTTGTCAATTTAAGGGGTTATTTTACTACAGCTTCTTTATGTGGCTGCGATTTAATACACATGTATAGTATTTTTCAAGTCAAATCTACATATAATTTAACACAAGCAGCAAATAATATTGATGTAGGCATAAGAATAGATGAGGGAATAGATTAATCTATTTTGACTCCTTGTGATGGCTTATAGCATTTTACCAGTAGCTTTATAACTGAACAATTTTTTATTTTAACAAATAAAAATTACAAAGACTCTTCCATAGAAATAATGAGTGAGAATAGCTTTGAAACAGTTGAAATCTCCTGTTAGATCACTCAATTATGCAGAGAGATACTGCTTGGAAGTCTCCGGATTCAGGGCCTCTGTCTGATACTTTAACATTGTTAATGATAATTCTTTAGTCTGTAATAGTAGGTCATTGCTATGGTTACTCTACAATGGTGCAACACTTTGCTTTCCCCTTCAGCTATTCGCTGAGACCTGGTAACCACATTTGTTGCCTAGCAACAGTTTTGTGACAGTATCACAATCTGGGAGTTACAACAATAAGGATGCTATGGCTGCAGTCCGCCAGAGAGCAGAAAGCTACAGTCTGTGCATGTGACTTAGCTGTGGGAGCTGGTCCTAGTAGAGAACCCCTCTATTTAGAGGGGCCCTCACAAGGATGCTCTCTATCCTCCTCTCCTCTGCAGATTGGCCTTCTGAACTTGCATTTGAAATTAAGATCCAGTATTGAAGTCATATCCTTGAGAAATATCCCTCCACACTACTGCATTCAGCCTAAAAAATGAGGTCATTTCTCTATTTGCTTACTCATTTTGGGCAAAATTCATTGTTATTCAATGGGAAGGAGGGATGAGTGTAGGTTTATCCTGGTAAATCCAATAGTGCCTAACCGGATTTTGACAATTCTTAATAGAATTCTTGGGGAAAAAATTATATATATGTCTGCCTGCATCAATAGCTGTGTAAAATCTCAAGTTCTTTGAAATATATATAACTAGACATTTTTATTATTATGATTTTGACTTATTCAAATGACAAAGGATTCTTTTGAATTTGGAGGATTTATATTCTCCAAACCTAAGTGAGCAGCTCTATATATGCTCAGATATGCCTACTTTAAATGATATTTTGTGGGTATATCTAAAATGGGGACCAGTTTCTAGATAGGTTTATGAAATGTCTGTCTCTCTTTCTATAGTGCTTGCTTAGTTTCAGTTCAATAATAAGTACTAAATTGTACTTAAGTAATAAAATAGTTTCAAATCAATTGTATCACTTCTTTTTGAAAGACCACTGGCAGATGCATACTACATGGCACACCCACCCCCCAAATACAATAAGCCAAAAAAAAAAAAAAAGGTGTTAATTGTCTCTTTTCCTTCCCATTCCCCAAGCTTCCAGCCACATTTGGCATTTCCTCCATAGTGATCACACTTACACCTACTAGTGTTACCAAGGCTATGATCAATTTGTAAGCTTTCTCAGGGAATTCCTCTCATAATTCCTCCCACCCCTTGAAAACCAATTCAATCTATGAATCTAGAGGGACCTAAGGAGTCAATGGTCTGAAGCAATTTTAACTCTCTTATTTCTTCTTTCCTGGGTGACAATCTTTCTCAAGGATGAACAAATTTCACTGGTGATAAAACCACTGCAAAAGCTTTTTAGTTTTAGCTTATGATGACTCTCTACTTGATTAGTCCTGGGCTGAAAAGACCAAAGTCCCTGAGATAACTGAGTACCTGAACTGGCACTCAACATTTACTCTTGCAATTTAACAGTATAAATAATGAGAATGTGTGCTTCTGTCAGAGGAGGGAAAATTGCTAGGAGTAAAGGTAATAAGGTAGGTTAGCAACTGAATTACAGAGAACGGGGTGAAGCAGAGAGATTTCTCCCTAAACTGAGGAATGGTAACATACATCATACAAAAATGTCTTTTCTAAATTTTTGGAAGTGGGTTTTTAATAATCAACAAATAGCTTTTGGAAGTTGGATATTTGCACATCTATCTGGGACTGCACAGACAAGAACATGTTTGGAAACCATATTCAAAAATTTAGGGCTAAAATTCAATGAAAATATTTACAAATTAATATGAAAATCTACATATGACAATGCTCAGTGAAAGGAAACTTCCAAGAGCAGCTTTCTGGTACTTAATATATATATCATTTTAGGGAACTGAAGAGGCTTGCTTTTCATTCCATCAATGCAGAAACACTAGGCCATTAAATTATTTATTCACAAAAGAATATAAAAGGTAACAATTTAGGTTAATCAAAAAAGCAGCCATTTATTAATAAACTGCAATGATGTACTGGTAACAGGGAAACTAGTCCATTTAGCACTAACCATGTAATTTGAAGGAGATAAACATGGTTTTACAGTCAGGGCCTCGATTTTTCACTACCATAGCTTTACCCTTATCAAAAGCCCCCCCCCCCCAATTTAGGGACTGTGAACTTCTCACTTTTCAAACCCCATTTTCCTAATCCAGAGAAGTTCACACAATGTAAGGAGTAAAGGGTTTTTCCACATTTAATATCTGCCAAGTTCTCTAGGAATAGTTTTCTATATCCTTTTGAATTGGCAGGCTTGTTCTAACTGGATAAATCATGTTTGGGGTGAATTCTGTTTTGCAACCTTTAAAATCAATTCAATATAAAAGTAAAATGTTGAGTATGACAGTGCATCATTACAAAAGTACCTTTGCTCAGTCTCAATCAGTGGTTATTAATGGGGATGGTAGTGGCCTCTAGAGGCATTTTGGATATTTGTAGGGATATTTTTGGTGGCTAAGATGATTGGAAGGTGCTATTGGCATTTAGTGGGAGAAGGTCAGGGATGGTGGACATCCTGTAATTTGCAGGGCAGTACAGCATGATGAAGAATTGTTTTGCATCCCACTCGATTTTTAAATGTTCCACAGCTATTCATGTAGTTGAAAAAAACCTGTTTATAATTATATGGGTTTAGAATTTAAATCTGTTTTACAAATAATCTCAAAGTACTTTTTGCATGATTTTAATATACACTGAATTTTGCAGGAATGCAACTACCATGTAAATTGAAGGGACTGTGTACTTCATGTTTTTCAGAATATTACCAAGAGTGTTTTACCCTATGAAAAAATCTCATCATTTATGGCACCACTTCCCATGGTACTTGAGTTGTCTATAAGCACACCTGTATCAGCCTGCATTTGTAGCTGTCAAACTCATTCTATATGCATTGGGCCAAGTAACTGACTACTTTATTGCTCCTTCTCAGGGAGACTTGCCTGAGCATTTTAAATGTTGAAATGCATATTATTTTTTACTATGAATTGCTTTTTATTCTTTCTATATGTTAAATTAGAGCATTACAACTATTGAACAATCTTGTAAGCAGGTAGACTATGTTATCTCTAGAATTTATTTCAGGATAGTAAAAGCGATGTGTAATATTTGTTATAATAGGTAATCAAGGGTCAGCTGAAATAAAAATGAATAATTGTTTTTATTACATTAAAGACTAATTTCCCCAATAATCTGAACCCTACTCTAGCTATCTCTTTTATCCTTATACAAAGCAGAAAATCCTTATTTTTCATTTAACTTATGTTTCTTCCACAAATACTGCTTGTCAATGCTCTTGTTCATTGTAAAATAACCAACAGGCAGGGGATATTCAAACTAAAATACTGCACTGAATATTTATTCTTGACCTATCAGTTGTTTTAAAAAATTAGCAAATTTCAAAGCAGTGAAGATAGTACAAATGGTGAAAAGGATAGTACAAATGGTGAAACTTTAAGTATGAAGGATGATATTATAAATCATATGAGAAAGATCAGATTTCTAAAATGTGTCATTTGTTTCCCCAAAAGAATATATATTTTAATCACAACCAGTTACAGATTCCTTTGTTCCTTCTCCACTCCCACTGCTCCACTTGACCAGCCTTAAAAAAAAAAAAAAAAAAAAAAGAATATATATTTAAGAAAAAGTGTCTTGCAATGGAACTGACAAAGAAGGAGGTTATATTCATGTAACAGCATTTAGAAATTAAGCAAAAAATGGTTGAAAATTATGCTGAGAGTAGAATGCTCAAAGAGTAGGATAACAGAGATGAAAACATTAATATATCTTTTTATCTACTTCCTTTTCATCTTCCTGTGATGACCCCAATTCAAATGTTTCTTACATTTGAAGGCAGCTTTGTCCACACTCCTCTTCACTTGATCTTAGTGCTTAGATTTTTTTTTGGAGGGCACCAAAAATTATACCAAAATATGCTACTGAGTTAGCAGCCAAAATCCTGATGTTTACTTTGGCAGATGTATACCATTCTGAAGCTATACCTCATTTTATGCAGTAGATGGCTTAAAAAGTTGTATATAAATATAGTTTCGGCAAATAGAATATTTATAAAATAAAGAAGTAGGTTATGTACCTCTTCAATGAATCACTTAATAAAGTGAATTATCTGAGAAAGCAAATAATCATTCTTCAAAAGATACACGGACACAAATCTGATTTGTCAGAGATAAGGTTAACTGGTAAGTAGTAGACAGATTGATGAACAGTATGAGTGTTCATCATTTAGAAAAAGATAATTTAGAAAAATTTCTTGGTCTTCTATTCACTATTCTAATTACAATGAGTCACTTTATTTTACTTGATTCTAGATGACAAAAGGTCATGAAATACAGGCATACCTCAGAGGTACTGCAGATTTGGTTCCGGACTACCTCAATAAAGCTAATATCACAATAAGGTGAGTCACACAATTTTTTTGGTTTCCCAGAAAAAAATTATGTTTATACTATACTATAGTCTATTAAGTGTATAATAGCATTATGTCTAAAAACACAATGTGCATACCTTAATTAAAAGTACTTTATTGTTAAAAATGCTAATGAGCATCTGAGCCTTTAATAAATTGTAAGCTTTTGGCTGATGGAGGGTCTTGCCTTGATGTTGACGGCTGCTGACTGTCCGGGTGGTGGTTGCCCAAGGTTGAGGTGGCTGTGGCAATTTCTTAAAATAAGACAGCAATAAAGTTTGCTGCATCATTTGATTCATCCTCTCACAAAAGATTTCTCTGTAGCATGCAATGTTGTTCTATAGCATTTTACCCACAGTGGAACTTCTTTCAAAACTGAAGTCAATCCTCTCAAGCCCTGCCACTGCTTTAATCACCTAAATTTATGGAATATTCCAAATCCTTTGTTATGCACAACCATGATGCAATGGTTCATGACATCTTCACCAGGAGTAGAATTCTATCTCAAAAAACACCTTTATTTGCTCATCCCTAAGAAGCAACTCCTCTTCCATTCAAGTTTTATCATGAGATTGCAAAAATTCAGTCACATTTTCAGGCTCCACTTCTGATTCTAGTTCTCTTGCTATTTATACCACATCTGCAGTTACTTCCACTAAAGTCTAGAACCCCTCAAAGTTATCCATGAGGGTTGGAATCAACTTCTTCTAAAAGCCCATTAATGTTGATATTTTGACCTTCTCCTATGAATAACAATTGTCCTTAATAGCATCTATTCATAGAATGGTGATTCTTTTCCAAAAGGATTTCAATTTACTTTGCTCAGATCAATCAGAGGAATCACTATGTAGGTCAACTACAGCTTTACAAAATGTATTTGTTAAACAATAAGACGTGAAAGTTGAAATTACTCCTGATCCATGGGCTGCAGAATGGATGTTGTATTAGCAGGCATGAAAACAACATTAATCTCCTTGTACATTTCCATCAAAGCTCTTGGGTGATTAGGTGGATTTTCAATGAGTAGTAATATTTTGAAAGGAATCTTTTTTTCTGAGCAGTAGGTCTCAACAGTGGTCTTAAAACACAGGCAGTCCCTGGGTTATGGACGACCTGACTTACGGTATTCCATACAGACAAATAGGCTCCCAAGACTCCCCATAAAGATAATTTATAATTAAATAATTAAATAAATAATTTGGGAACCAGTTTCTTCTGTACATGTAAACAAACCTGCATGGCATAAGTGGCTCGTTACTGCAGCATCTTTATGCTAGCAGCTAGTCTCACTGTTTATATAGTCGCTTACACATAGCATCACTTCCGTCTTAACTTTTTAATTTGATTTAGTGAGAATGTGTTTACCCTTATGAACATGCCTCCAAAGCCCACTGCAAGTCCAGGTGAGCCTACAGTGAAAAGTGATTACAATGGAAACAAAAGTAGAAATAGTTAAGCATTTGGAGAAAAGCCAGACGCTGTCATTCATTGGTAAAGCATTAGGCTTCAGTTGCTCGACTATCAGAATAATTGTAAAGGATAAAGTGAGAATAATGAAAGTGAAAGGCAGTGCTCCAATGAAAGTATCAGTTATTACTAAGCAGCATAGTGGATTGATTGTCGAAATGGAAAAGTCATTACTGATTTAGTTAGAAGATCAAAGTAAGTGTAACCTTCCTATTAACCTAGTATTCATGCGATACTAGGTGAGTGCTAACCTTTAATATTCTTTTCTTGAATTTCTCCTATTTCCTACCAGAACCTTTTATTTGAGTTTGTTTTTATGTTCTGTTTCTTTGAATTAAAAGAAAGAGCATCATAGTTTCTGTAACTTATTATAGCATTACACTGTATTATTATTGCCACATATGAACCATTATAGTATTATTATTATTATTGTTTATCAGGTATTTCAGTTTCAGACAAATCTGACTTAAAGATATTCTCAGGAATGTATTTTATCCGTAACTCAGGGACCACTTGTATTCAGTATACCATGCTGTAAACAGATGTGCTGTCATCAAGGTTTTGTTGTTCCATTTATAGAGCACAGGCAGAGTAGATTTAACATAAATTTTTTGTTTGTTTGTTTGTTTTGTTTTGTAGAGATGAGGTCTCACTATGCTGCTCAGGCTGCCCTTGAACTCCTGGCCTCAAGTGATCCCTCAGCCTCGGCCTCCCAAAGTGCTTGGATTACAGGTGTGAGCCACCACATCCAGATTTAGCATAATTTGTAAGGGTACAGGATTTTTGGAGTGGTAAATGAGCATTGGTTTCAACTTAAAGTCATCAGCTGCATTAGCCTCTAATAAGACCGTCAGCCTGTCTCTGAAGCTTTGAAGCCAGGCATTGACTTCTTCTGTCTAGCTATGAAAGTCCTAGATGGCATCTTCTTCCAATAGAAAGCTGTTTTGTCTACATTGATAATTTCCTGTTTAGTGTAGCCACCTACATCAATGATCTTAGCTAGATCTTCTGGATAACTTGCTGCAGCTTTTACATTAGTACTTGCTGCTTCATCTTGCACTTTTATATTATGGAAATGATTTCTTTCCTTAAGCTTCATGAATCAACCTCTGCTAGCTTCAAACTTTTTTTCTGCAGCTTCCTTACCTCTCTCAGCCTTCACAGAATTGAAAAGGCTTAGGGCTTTGCTCTGGATTAGGTTTTGCCTTAAGGGAATGTTGTGGCTGGTTTGATCCTTCTTCCAGACCATTAAAATTTTCCCAATATCAGCAATAAGGCTGTTTTGCTTTCTTATTGTCCCTGTCTTCACTGGAGTAACACTTTGAATTTCTTTCAAGGATTTTTCCTTTGCCTTCACAACTTGGCTAACTCATGCAAGAGGCATAGCTTTCAGTCTTTCTCAGCTTTTGACATGCCCTTCTCACTAATCTTAATCATTTCTAGCTTTTGATGTAAAGTGAGAGACAGGAGACTCTTACTTTCACTTTAACACTTACAGGCCAGGGTTATTAACTGGCCTAATTTCAATATTGTTGTGTTTCAGGGAATAGGGAGGCCAGAAGAGAGGTAGAAAGGTAGGGATCAGCAGGTTGGCAGAGCAGTCAGAAGGCACAACAACATTTACTTCACCATCTTCAGTGGGTATGTCATGGTGCCCTAAAACAATTATAATAGTAACAGCAAAGGTCACAGATCATAGATCACCATAACAGATAAAATAATAAAAACGTTGGAAATACAGTGAGAATTACCAAAATGTAACACATAGACACAAAATGAGCACATGCGGTTTTTAGAAAAATGGCAGTGATAGACTTGTTTGATGTAGGGTTGCCACAAATCTTCAATTTGTAAAAAGTACAGTATCTGTGAAATGAAACAAATTGAAGTACAATAAAACAAGGTATGCCTGTAATTTCAACAATCTATGCATAATTTACATCTTAGGGTCTGCTTTAGAATAGGGACTATCACTGTTCACAAAGTCACCTTTAAATAGGGAAGACCATTTTTTATATCTTTGTTTAAGAGGGATAAAAATCAAGTATATGCCCCTACCTTCTCACTCTGCCTCTTCTCTGCCCCAACAAAAGAATGCATTTTTAAAGCAAAAGGTATTGAATAAACTTTTTAAGTTCCTATGATAAAGAGGGAAAGAGACTAGAAAGATATAAAACACATTAATATTAACATGATAATATGTCTATGATATTTCCAAAATGAGAAGACTCGATTTTAAAAATTGATCTTAACAAGAAAAAGAAGTATGGGCAATTAGGAAGTAATGAAGACCCTGTCAATATAGCTATGTTGATAATAACAGGTAAGGGAATTCTTGAGAAAATCTAATATATAAAAATCGGGAGGTTTGTAATATGCATTATTGAGTCCCACTGGGATTAACTAATGAACTTAGGAGCTCACCAGCATTATTTTTAGAAAGTTATAAAGAATCAGAAATATAAGAGCACTGAAAAATAATGTGTCTTCTAAAAAGAAATAAAATACAACTACTAAAATTCACTTAAAAATGAATTCTAGAGCTTCTAAGGAGAATATCATTTAAAAAAAAATACAAATCTACCAGTATTTGAACAGAGAGGGGCTCCTAATGGAAACCCTCTAAATTAGAAGGGACATATACAAGACTGCCACACTCAGGGGTAGTGAATGGAGCTGGGTGGTGTGTCTACTGAGATTGTGTAAGGGAAATGCCAAGTTCAGTTCAGTAAACATGTTACAATGCCTTGTTGAGTTACCTGTGAAAGAAACAAGCAAGTTTTTTCCGTTGCTAACACTGTTAAAGTTGAGATTGTGTCAGGACCCCAAAGGCAAGAAGTCAAGTTTGACCACAGATATAAGAGACAGGCTGAAACAAAGACTTACAACTAGTGGTGGAAACTTTTGGATCATTTACAGCTTCTAGGGTAGCCTGTCCTTTCCTCTAGCTCCTTTTCTGCCAAATATCTTTCATCTAAGGGGGTGTGCACGGTGGGGGTAGAGGTAGAGCTGGGAGTGGAGGAAGAGGGGACAGGGCAGTTTAAGACCCAGGGAAACAACTCTGGGAAGTAAACTTATTCTTGAGGTATAGCAGACAGCCTGCAGTGGCTGTGTATCTCTGGCTTTGAACCTTGTAGACTTCTCTAATCAAACTTTGCCTAAACTGATTTTTAAAACGGATATATTTTTACTTCTTCAACTGCCTATGGAACTCAGACAGCTAGCTGGTGGAGAAGTGCTTTCTTTGGTTGTAAGTCTTGTCTTGCATCACATACTACTCCCACCATTGCCACAAGGCCTGGCCTTCAGGGATATACTGTTTCCCTTTAAAACTTGAGTCTATGTTTGGGCAAAAGTCCCCCATTTCCAGTTTCCCTTTGTCATTTTCAAAAGTAACTTTAACCAAAGGATTATAAGTAAACACAGTGATAAGCAAGGGAATGCAAAGAACCAAAAAACAGTTATTTCCCTAAGTACAGGTTTCTATTTCTAATATTCCCAATACATTCAGTAAAGAGCTTTGC